TGCCTGAGCCTGTGGGTTCAAGACCCGCCTGGGCAGCGAGACCTCATCTCTACAATAAATTTTTTTTAAAAAATTAACCAGGCATGGTAGCACGTGCCTATAGTTCTGAGGTGGAAGGTTCGATTGCCTGATTCCAGCAGATCAAAGAGGGTCGGCGATAAGCATGCCACTGCACTCTAACCTGGGTGATGGAGTGAGAATCCAACTTAAAAAAAAAAAAAAAAAAGAATAATTGTCATACATAGAGTGGCAGAGTGACAAGATATAGTAACAGTTAATTAGTGACAAAGCGGAAGGTAGCACCCAGGTTGCCAGACTCCTGAGCTAAAAGCATCATGCCAGCCTCGGAGTGAGAGAGGGAATGGGGTTCCTAAATGTCGACTGAGGGAATCGGTTGTCATGGGGGCAAAAGAAGGCAAGTGGCTGGGATTTCTAATATATCCCTGCTTATGTTTTGCAGAGAAGTTATAGTAGATCTGAAATGAAACTCAGAGCTGCTTTATCCAAATCCCTTTTTATAGATAAGAAACCATCCCCAAAAGAGAAAGTCCTTGGCCATGGCCACAGTATGGGTTGATGGTAGAAGTGGAGCTGGAACCCAGGAATCCTGGTATCTGTCCTCCACCGCTCCAGGCAGGAGAAGGGCAAGCTCTCTGGCACAGGGAAAGGAGCCAGTTTCTCCTTCAGTCACATCCCATCCCAGGCCTACCTGTGAATGACACTCGATTTTCATTGTAATTGAGAGCTGGAGGACTGTTTTCAGTATCTGCTGCACGACATTCTCAAAACTGTTGGTAAGACGTATTAGCATTTAGATTGTTAGCAGCTCACTAGCTTCAACTTATATTCCTAGCACCCATTCAGGCACCATGAGTCAATGCCAGCCGTGATGTCAGACAGGTTTTGTCTCCCAGCTCTGCTGCTTCCTAAGCTGGGTGGTTTTGGATGTGACAAGATATTTGGGATGTTTAGAACCTGGGTGGGCTCAATAAATACTATTTTACTGGTTATTGCAGTTGCTCAGTCCATATTTATTGAATGAATGAACAAATGAACGGCTCATTGGAGGAACAAACTACCCAAGCAGACCACCACTGTGGTCATAGCTTTGGGTATCCCATAGAAATTGCTAGGCTTAGTTTGGTCAGAAGAGGGCAGCTTTGAGCCAGACATTCCAATTTGCTGAAGAGGATTTACATCCCTCTTTTGGGATTTACACCTCCCAGTCTTGGACGGCCAGTTCGAATATTCAGGCTCCTATCCAGGCAGCTCCACCAGCCCCTGAGAAGGGAAGGTCAGCACCTTCATGGCCATATTGTCCGCCAGGGAGAAGAAGTGTAGAGTGGAGTTGAGGCGAGTGACTGAATGCTGTAACTCATCCACAAAGTTCTGGGGAAAGAGAATATGATGGCTGAGGTCTCAGGCTGGAAGTGGGTGGTGAACTGAGCTCTATTCCAAGAGAAAAGAAAAGAGGAGCTCAGGCATCTACATTAAGATAATTCCAGCCGGGCTCGGTGGCTCAGCCTGTAATCCCGCGCCATGGGAGGCTGAGGTGACTGGATTGCTTGAGCCTGCAGGTTCAAGACCTGCCTGGGCAACTTAGTGAGACCTCATCTCTACAATAAAAAAAAAAAAAAATTAGCCAGGCGTGGTAGCGCGCGCCTGCAGTTCCAGCTACTTGGAAGGCTGAGTGGCAGGATCGCCAGAGCCCAGCAGGTCGAGTCTGCTGTGGCCGGGAGCAACCACTGCCCTCCAGTCTGGGTGACAGAGTGAGACTCCAACTCAAAAAAAAAAAAAAAGATAATTCCAAGTGAAGATGCTATGGGGCTCAGGAGGCCCCCTATAGCTCATTAGTTACAGAGCATGTGGCTCTTCTCTCCTCTTCCCAGCCCTGCCACAGCTTCAATATCTTCTTCCCTCATCCCCCTCCCCATCCCATCCTCAATGTCTTTCCTCACAGTTTGACCATTCTCACCCACCCTTTAAGACTCAACCATGAACTCCTCCCTAGAGCCCCTCCACCAGAATAAAACCCACCGTATCAGCTCTACAGGTACTTTGTACCTCTCTTGAGGGCCTCATCACTTTTTGCCTCGAATTATATAGAAAGTTGTAGATTTATCTTATTTCCCTCACTAAAATGTAAACTCCTGAGATCAGAGAGCTCATTCTTAGTCACTCAAGACTCATCTTGTATCTCAGACGGGCCTTACCAATTCCAACCTCCACCCCACCCCCAAATCATGGCCTTGGTGCCCCTCACCTGTCCTCCTGTTAGCACCCTGAATCCAGCAGGACACAACACAGCAGTCCTTACTCTAAGCTGCTTTCAAATCCCCTTTTACTAGTCTGGGTCCCCACCTCCACTTCACCTCTCCCCCACACACAGATTGTAAAATGTGCAAGGGCAGGAATAGATGTTTGTTCGTGCTTGTTTCCCCAGTGGTAGATCCAATGAATGGTTTTCCCCAAGAGTTCTTCAGACATGGATCAGTCACAGGGCACCGGAGGGGCGTAGGCTTCTCCCTCCCAGGACTGGATAATGGGGCAGTCAGGTTTGAGAGTGGCTTAGCTCAGCCCAGACCTCCAAGCATATCCACACATCCAACCACATGACCTGGGAATTCCCTGAGACCTGCTAGCAGCAGAGCTCCTGACCCACACAGATTCCCTATCTGTCACTGTCACTCTCCCACAAAACAGGTCTCCCTTAAGCAATTTGAAAGTTGAGTTTCAGCAGCTTAGATCATTTCTGAGTCACATGCTCTATGTTGGTCTGTCTCCTTTGTCTGCCTTCTGTTGTCTTTGGTCATCCACGGCTTGCCACCTAAATGTGGATTCAGACTCTAGTCAAAAGAAGCTGGAGTGGGCTTGGGAAGGTCCAAGAGGTTGCAGCTAATGTCCCTCGTGTTATGGTAAAGGAGGGAGATCGGTCACATTTAGGTGCTTTCGCATTAGTTTTGGAGTCATCGCACATCTACTCTTCAGTCCATAAGAATCTATGGTGTGCTTTTTATGTGCCTAGTAGCACGCTGAATATTGGAGATAGCCAGAAAATTCACAGGGGTCTAGGAGAAGCCTGAATGGAAACCTTAGGCTCCTCTGTAGAGTCCTTTCATCTTAAGAGGAAATGTTGATTCAGCTGGCTAACTGACATGTATCCTTCATGTCTCAGCTTAAAAAGCCCTGGCTTCTGGAAGCTGTCTCTGACCCGGGAGATCTCTCCTATTATACATCCTAAGGGCAATCTTCTTCCACCATGGCCCCTTCTCCCTCTGTACAGGATTTGTTTGTTTATTTCTCACTAGACTGAGATTACTCCAAAGACAAAGATCTGGTCATCATTATATCCCAGGCCCAGCACCTAGTGGGCACCAGTATTTGTAGAATAATTAGTAGAAGGCCACAGAACTGGTTAATGTCACAGCCAGGTCTAGAACTCTGGTCTCTCAATACTCATCCCTGTGCTTGTTCTTTTGTTACGCATGTTTCCTTTTGAGAATCCTAATCCTTCTGGATGGGCCCCTAGGAATGGATACCTAGGAGCCCAATGGAGAGGAAACAGCAGGTCAGGGCAACTGTCTTCTGGGCCCCATCTTATTACCCAAAGCAAAACGGGGGTTGGTACAGGGAAGAATGCCAAACCAGACACCACCTCCATGGCCCTTCAGATTTGGAGGGAGGGTGGTTAGTTTCCTGCATAAGGTGGATCTTCTCCTGCCACAAAGGAGGCAAAGGGATCAATGGAGAAGTGGAGACATCCAGAACTCATACTAGAAAAGATCAGTAGAAGTAGGAAAGTGGGCAGACACTAAATACAAAATTCAGCTACTGGGGATCCAGTCCTTCTCCATCCTCAGCATGCCCTGAATGAACACACAGCAGGAGGCACTATCCTACTTGGGGAATGAGTGGGAGACTCCCATCCCAAGGCATCCAGTCAGGGCTCTAAGTCTGCTTACAGGAAGGACTTCCCTCAGGGAAGGTGATCAAAGCCTGTTGCCCTCCATTCTTCTCCCTGTAGACCAGGGTCTGAATCTCACTTTCTTCCACTTTCTAACCAGTTGTGTGGCCTTGGACAGAATAATACTCATTTCACAGGATTAGGTTATCAAGTTGGCTAAAGGGGAAATGTTCCCTCTTCTTATTTAGAGCAAAGGGGAAAACCTATGGACATTCTTGTTTCACTCTAAATGAGCATTCAGAATGGAGACTCTGGACCTAGCACTCCAGGCCTAAAAAACCTACCCAAACCTCGTGACGAGTCTTCCTGCTCCAAAATCATGGGCAGCAAAACCTTGGTCAGGGCAGCTATTTACAGATTTAGAGACACAATCTAAATAGTAGTGTTGTAATATATTTTAAAATGAATACATGTTTTTCTTTGGGCTCTCTCCAGCTCATGCCAACACTTCATAAATTCCACCACATCCCTCTTTGATGAAGAGGCAAGAACTTTCCAGCATCATTGGATTCTAGGATTCAATAGAGGTTGATCTAACTGAAGACAAGTGAACTCAGAATTCTAGAACAGTTCTTCACCAGTCATTCCACTTGACTGGATTCTGCCTCCGTCCGATCCCATCCCCCTTCCTTCCTTTTGGGCTTAATGAAGCGGTCAAGCAACTTTATAGATTTTGGCTTGGGAGAAGCAAATTCTTAAGGATGGAGAACTACTTTGATGACCTCTAGTACCCTCAAATTGCCCCTTGCCAACTGAGAACACAGCATAACAGAAAACAAAGGTTCTAACCAGCACCAAGCTCCACTCAGAGGCAAGAACAATGACAAGGGCTCTCAGGGTAAGGTTCTGGACCTCAAGCGGCCTCCACGGGAATCCCCTATTCCCCACTCCTGGCCCCAGAGGGCCCAGGTGGGCGGGGCTCCACTGACACCTTTCCCGGGGCCCGGTGTCCTGGCGAGCCAATGCGGGCGGCCGTGGTCACGCGCCGCCGACGAGCAGCCCAATGGGCGCCGGGGGGCGTGGCCAGGGCCTCGGGCTCCGAGAGCTTATAACAACTTAGAACGCTGCGCCTTACTGCGCGCTGCGGTGCGACTGTGCGTCCCCCGTCCGGGCGCCGGACGCGTAGCCCGGGCTCTAGCCCTCTCCGCGCAGCCTGTTGACTCCTTCGCCACCCTCACTCTCCTCCTGCTCGCCATGGAGTCCTTGGCTTTCCCCCGGCGCCCCGGCCCAGCTCCCTCGACCGCCGCCGCCCCGGCCGCGGAGCTCGCCCGGCCTGCGGCTGACGGGCTCATCAAGTCTCCCAAGCCCCTGATGAAAAAGCAGGCGGTGAAGCGACACCACCACAAGCACAACCTGCGGCACCGCTACGAGTTCCTGGAGACCCTGGGCAAGGGCACCTACGGGAAGGTGAAGAAGGCGCGGGAAAGCTCGGGGCGCCTGGTGAGTGCCGCCCCTCTCCTGGCACCGGCCGGGCGGGCTCGGGGCTTGGCCGCGGCTGGAGAGCGGAGGAGGGGCTCGGGCATCGTTCGGGGGTGTTGCCAGCATGCCGGCTGTACCGCGCGGAGGCTGCGCACGCGTGGGGGGGGGGGGTGCGTCCTTGCAGGTGTGTCTATCCATGATTGTAGGGACCGTGGTCTTAGATCTGAGAACTCCAGCGACACCGGACCGCATGTGATGATTGTCAACCGAGTGAGGCCGATAGTTGGCGAATAGTGCCCTGTTTTGGTGAGAAGCCTCCTCAGAGAAGATGGGTTTCTGGAATTTCGCTTGGAACAGTCTGGTAAACAGAGTGGACTGGGAAGAAGTAGTAGAAGGCACCTGATCTCAGTAGCGATTTGATACGTTGGTGGTGGAATGAATGGGTGAGATGTCGAGTACTACTCTTAAGAGCCTGGCAGCCTGGCATGCTGTGGAGATCTGTGCAGGCTGGACATTTAGGTCCTTTCCATTTTAGTTAAAATTTCATCATTATGAGTTTTTGATTCTTGAAAATGTGAAACCAGGCTCTGATATCAGGTCCATTCTGTCCCAGGATACTTTTGAGTTTGAGGCCTTTTCAGGAACTTGTCTTGATAATTTGATGTGTGTGCAGTAGTCATAGTAATCTCTATGACCTTGGGCAATTTCCTTAATTTCTGAACTCTGTTTACCCTTCTGCAAAAATGGAGAAAACACAGCCTGCCTCACAAGTTGCTATGAGGATTGAGTAAAATACAATTGTAAACTTAAATTGTTCCTGACACATAGAACTTGCAGTAAGAATTGTATTTGTATCTGGGAAGGCCAGCCCAGAAAAATGGCAAATTTGCTGAGAATTAGCTAACAGTGGTTAACTGTGGTTCTCAAACTTGAGTTTAATGTGCATGTGTAAAATACTTATTCTTTGATTCCACACCCAGAGGAATTTATTCTGAAGTTTTAGGATGGGGCCATATAATCTATATTTTAACAAGCCTTTTAGAGCAGGTGATTTAGGGATTATGTTTTGCCAAATTCAGTTGGTTGGGTGCTGATTGTGAGGGTGTATGTGTGTGGGGGGGGGCGGGCTGTGGTTTGCCCTGTTGGCTATGGCGGCAGTCACCTCCCTAGTTTGTGTTTGCTGTTGCAGCCAGTAGCTGGTTTGAAATTCAATAAGTCATTTCATTGGTAAAGGAGAGTGGATGTTGGCGAAAGGGGTGGATTATGGTCCCATCAATAGGATCGAGTATGTTTTTCCTGCTAACACCTGGCACAGTCCCCAGTTGCCTGCTGCCAGGTTACAGCTATTGGGCAATCGTGTACTTCCTGGCTTTCCTTTTCTTTCTCTTTCTATAAAGTGTAAGGGCCCAGTGAGGCTCCAGGCTTGAGACTGCTGGGCTCACGCTTTGTCAGGGGCTTAGCTGGGAAATAGCTGCTCGTAGTTTGTGCCTCGTGCCTCTTGGGGGTGGGAAGACTGGGTTGTGGGAACTGGGGTGGCCCAGAAACTGAGATTGAAGTCCAGAGCCCCCATCAGGCTCTTGACACATGCCACTATGGGGTGTGAGAGAGAGAGAGAGGGAGAGAAAGAAGGAGAGAGATCTCATTTGATTCTGGAGCGAGATAAACTAGCTTTCAGTTTTCAAACCTCAGTGGCTCTAGGCAGGGATTCCAGCTCTTATTACATCAGAACAGAGAGAATTCAGAAGATATTCCCTGGCCTCGTGCCTCTTTCTCTATGTAGGGAGCCAAGATCAGTAGGCACGGGGCCCCCTCTGAACCTCCCTGATCCTATAGACCACCCAGTACTTCTGCTGGAAACTTGTTCAGGGTCTCTCCCTCCTTCTTGGAGACAAGCTGCCTGCTGTGCTAATAGTTTCTCAATTCTGGATTGTCGCCTTCTTCCCCACCCCACCCCCATCCCTGCCTCTTGACTGTCCTCCCTGAAGGGAAAGAGACCTGGTGCCTCAGGATACTTCATTGCAGGAGAGGAGCATGGAAGCTACCCAAAATCTCCTCCAAGAGGAACTAAGGTTGTTGGTGGGAGCTAGAGTCAGAGGAAAGCCTGCTGGGTGACTTCCATCCCAACTTTCTCTCCACCCTTCTAGCACACTTCCCACTCCCAGCCTCCCTGCATGGGATTATCCTGGGCCAGATGGGATTGGCAGAGGGAAGGGCAGGTGGGCGGAACTAATGGCTGCTCTGGAGGGCATCAAAGGAAAAACAAATATTTGCTCTCCATCTTGGATACATTCCTGGTATCCAAATGACATTTCCTCCTGTGATTCTCCCAGCTCCCTTGATCATCCCTTCTCCTAAAGAGAAAAACACATGCTGAGGTCACTGGAATGGTGGAGTCCACCAAAGCCTTTGCAAGATTTGTATGGAAGTCTTACTTCTTTTTTTTTGAGTTGGTGTCTCACTCTGTCGCCCAGACTGGAGTGCAATGGCCGCTCCCGGGAGGCTACTGCAGCCTCGACCTGCTGGGCTCCGGCGATCCTTCCGCCTCAGCCTTCCAAGTAGCCGGAATTACAGGCATGCACTACCACGCCCGGCTGATTTTTTTGATTTATTGTAGAGATGAGGTCTTGCTGCCCAGGCAAGTCTCGAACCCGCGGGTTCAGGCAATCCACTCACCTCAGCCTCCCAAGGCGCGGGATTATAGGCTGAGCCACCAAGCCTGGCTGGAAGTCTTACTTCTAAGGGGTGCCACGAGGGGCTTGAGGGGATTAAGTGGGTAGTGCTCTGCTGCCTTTCCAATGATCAAAATGTTTGAAAATGACTGAGATGGTCCAATCCGTCATTGGCAGGTGGGAAACTGAGGCCCAGAGAGGGGAAGTGATTTATCCTGTGACTGGTTAGTGACATGCCTGCAACATAGGCTCCTGACTTGACCACCCCAGGCTCTGATGACCAAGTACTGAGTCTTGGATGGGAGTTGGCTTTGAGATGAGCCTGGGCTTGCCTCCGTGTGCTTTGTTATTTCAACAGCTAGCTCCCGCTGCCTTTCTCAGTGCTCCAGGCAGTGCTCAGGGTGGGTAGAGTCACTGGGAACCAACCCCCACCCCCACCCCCACCTACCCTGACTGTGTTGAAGGATCCGGAGTAGTTCTCCTGAGTAGGTGAACTACTTGGGATCGATGGTTCTGGTTTTTAAACCTTGTTGGGGAGGCTGCCTAGCTGAGTCAAGACCGCAAGGGCTCAAATTATGGCTCCATGACTTTCCAGCTGTGTGACCTCTCTGTACCTCAGTTTCCTTATTTGTAAAGTCAGGATTATAATAATCCTTCCTTCATGGGGTTCTCCTAGGATTAAGCAAGATAACATATATAAAATGCTTAGCATTGTATCTAACATACACAGTGTTATTATCCTAACAAGGCTAGCTTTGACCAAACCTTACCCTTCCCTTTCCTGGGGACTCCCCCCATCTTATGGAGGGTCTGTCCTACCCTGAGGAAGAATGTGGATTGCGCTCAGCTTCCTAAACTAAACCACTTTGGTCTCTGCTTTGTTCAAAGTCCTAGTCTCTCCTTCAGCCCCAGCTCCAGAGAAGGACTCTCGCCGGGACAGCTGCCAAAGGCTTGCTTGGCGGGACACTGCCCTCTCAGCTCCTCCTGCACCTGCCTGCTCAGCAGCAGGGAGGGAGGCTGCAGGCGGCTCTTGTCCTTGGGCTCCAGCCAAACCACACAAGAGTGCTGGGCAGGGAAGCTCCTTGCCCAGCAACCTGTCAGAGTGGGCAAGGAGGGGGCAGCACAGGACGAGGCTTAGGAGAGGTGGCTAGGCTCCCCCTCGGAGCCCATTCCTGATCCCTGCCTGGTCCTCAGGCTGGTTTGGTGGGATGGTGAGCCACCCTCAGGCCCATCCCCACTCTGCCCAGCCTGGGCTAGCCCAGCCCGGGCCAGCCCAGCCCAACCTCTCCTCCGTTATCTAAATGGGTCATCCTCCAAGCTCCTTGCCCTGCCTCCGGGACAACAGCTGCTCCGTGAAAGGCCAGAGAGGAGTCAAGAAGCTTGGCTCCAACTCCAGGTGATAGCTATGACCAGAGATGCCCAGCTTGCATCCTGTCTTTTTACATCTGGAACCAGCATCTCTGGATCTTTCTTTTTTCTAAGACCTTTCTACCAACCCTCCTGAATCCAGATCATTCCTGATCTGAGTTCCTGGGAGGGAGGCAGTGTTTACCAATTGAGCCCCAGCACCTAGCCCTCCCAAGTGCTGACAAAGAAATGGGCATGTTTGTATATCTGTAAGCAGGACAGGGTGGCTGGTGCTACTGCACAGCATGACCGAGGGCCACACGTGGAGCATTCTCTTCTCTAGGAATGGGAGACACGACAGAGCATCTCTGAGGAAATTTTGTCTTCTGAGATGAAAGATTCTTTAGAGCTGGGCTCGGTGGCTCAGCCTGTAATCCCGTGCCTTTGGGAGGCTGAGGTGAGTGGATTGCCTGAGCCCGCGGGTTCGAGACCCGCCTAGGCAACTTGGTGAGACCTCGTCTCTACAATAAATCAAAGAAAATAAGCCGGGCGTGGTAGCGCACACCTGTAGTTCCAGCTACTCAGAAGGCTGAGGCGGAAGGATCGCCGGAGCCCAGCAGGTCAAGGCTGCGGTGGCCGGGAGCGGCCATTGCACTCTAGTCTGGGCAACAGAGTGAGACTCCAACTCAAAAAAAAAAAGAAAGATCCTTTAGGTAACACCACTCCATCTTAGATCCTGATTCTGTTACTGTACTTCAGTTTGCTGTTTACAAAATGGGATAGGGCATTAGCCCTGCTGCCTTTCCAATGTTCAAGGCCACAGAGGCAAGGAAGTCATGGGATGGTATCAGGAATTATGCTCAGGTGGGTTGACATGGGCATAGTATGGGGCTTCTGAACAGGCCCCTTGTAACAATTCTTGCTAGCACTTTTCTGGCGGTATAGTAGCAATTGGCCCATTTATTTTGTTTGTTTTTTTGAGTCAGATTCTGCTTGACTTTGTCA